TACTTCTATATATACATACATATAAAAAATATATATGTAATTATATATATATCTCCCTTATTTGTGTTTTGAAATGGCATAATGGGAGTGCTAATATAGCTTACAATATTTGAAATCCCTTTCTCTCCCAGAAAACCCAAGGAAAACATTACTTTGTAGTTTTGTAGTTGCTACATTAAATCTCCAGTGTTGTCTCATTGTTTCAGAAAAGGCAACCATCAGCCTTTTTTTTTTTTTTTTAAAAAAAAAAAACCTCTCTCTTTTTTGAGGGGGTGGTAAAGTGAAAGACAAATTGAGTTTTTACAGGTTGACAGTTTGGGGTTTAAAATAAAGGCAAGTTGTTTCCGAATGTGTACATAAACCTCCCTGGTTTATATTTCTTTAATTTTTAAAAAAACTACCAAAAATTTTTAAATTCTTGATGGAAAAATAAGAGAGATAAGACTGGCTCATGTACATCACAACAGATTAGGCACCTTTTGAATGGACTTTGAACTTACATTTTCTGGTTCAACTCCAATGTCTTCACAAAATTTCTCCATACCTTCCGGCCCTACAATATCATCAGTGCCTGCAAACAAAATGCATTTTACTTATCTCTGAAAATTAAAACAGCCTGACTTTACAGCACAAGAGAAATGCAATCACGCAGTACAACTTGAACTTCCATACAGGTTTTTTTTGTTTGTTTGTTTGTTTTGACACGCAGTAAGTATTTCTACACTTACTATCAGACCTGGATACACTTAAATCTTTATCTCACCTTTGGAAACAGAGACAGAAGAAACTGTAAAACAACTTTTCATTCCTGACAATATTCTCTATTCTACCCATTTACCAAGATAATCTTAGAAGAGTAAATTAGTGAGTTCTTTAAGAGTGCACTTAAGACTAGCAGAACATCCATGTAATATTACCATGGTTAAATGAGTGGACAATGGTTAGTGAAACTCATTTCTTGGCTTGAATCTCTACTGTTACCATACGATCATATCACATAAAAATGTGATCATAGAATCATAGAATCATTTAGGTTGGAAAAGACCTTTAAGGTCATGCAGTCCAACCATTAACCTAACATTACCAAGTCCTCACTGATGGATAGGTATACAGGAAACAAGACATTATCATTCCCAGAATCTCATTCCTTATTGTCTCATATATTATCTTTATATAATGTTATCTACAAAAAAGACCCTAAAATAAAAATCTTGTGCTCCTGTTTATTCATATTCCTATACCATGGCCACACATTATCTGAATTTTAGTAACCGCAGGGGGAAGGAAGACATGAATTACAGCTATTTGTTTGCCGCCTTAACAGGAAGAAAGATTCAACATATAGAAGCTATTAAAATGCACTATTAAAAGATGCTGTCAAATCAAGGTATTTGTAACTTCTACAATACACTGTTGAAAAAATTATACAGGCATTAAGGATTGTACTGTGCAATTCTATTTTTTTTAAAGTACTTGTTTAAGTATTTGGACTATTTTTTTAGAATTATTTTACTCATATTTACAAGGGCTCATTTGGGAAAAAAAAACATGAGAGACTGAAATGTCTACTTTCATCCAATATAAAGATCACATGTGCAAGAAAAAGGTTTTATAAACAGAAGATCAATCTATGTTTTATTATTACATGACCTACTATTCTAGAAATAACAAGGTTTAATTATATCTTTTCCTATCTTCTCATGACATCCTCTCACAGTTCTCCGAGTGTACACAACAGTCCTTAAAAAAAACCTCATTCTGTAATGTAAAGACACACTAGGGAAAAAAAAAACCAAACAAACGTAGTGTCAGCCCTCTGCATATATAAAGGAGAAGACTCATGAAGCAAGAACACAAAAGAGATTATTCTTTGAAAATTCACTTTTTAGAATGTTACTCAATACTGTAAACAGAATCATACTCTCCGCTTTTCTCTGTTTTATCTTGGTGTATGCATCCAATGGAAACCCAAAAGTTCTTTCATATACAGCCTTCCTTTCATCCCTTCTTTCCATGAAAGTCTTGACAAAAACGAGTTATCCCTGTTGCTAGAGTCAAAAAATAAATCAAGCTGGTCAGAAAGGCAGAGAATCTAACAGGTTAGATCTGGCTTGAATTTGTCTGAACCTCCTCTCATAGACTGCCACAGACAAGTGAGATCTCCAAGTATTTAATTTATAGAATTTTATTAGAAGAAAAAAAAAATCTTATTACATCAAGTCACTCTTCATTATGCGTAAGTAGTAGACAGAACAAGCTGTGAGCAATATCACCCAAGACAGCATTGGAAAACTGCAAGATGACCTTCTTTTCTTTGTCAATCATCTCTTTCATTTCCTTTTGGTCTTAACAGTCATGAGATAATTCTTCCCCATACTTAAAGTTCTCCCCTTCAGAAAACCACATGTAAAAAATGAATACGATGACTAACTTCACTATTAAAGGATCATCTTTTGCGACCGCAGATCGTAATTAACATATGAAGAAAGTTAAGATCTGAAGAAAGTTCTCATACACAAGGGCAAGAACAAATAATTCAGTCTGCCTTTTTCTGTGATGGAACACTATATAAACACAAGACTAGTATGGGATACTTGAATTTATTCACTTCTTTGCTTGAAACCGTAAGTACAAGATTGAGCAGGGAGAAAACTGATGTTACTACCTCCCCCACCTTTTTTTTTTTTTTTTAAATTAAAGATACACTTCTCCTGAAGCATAATTCTGTACTATTCAGCACTGACATAGCAGATGACAGAACTTCTAAAGCCAGAGAGGTAAAAACATTTTGGACAGAAGTACAGCTTTAACTACAGATTTGAATAGTAAAGTATACATGTTCCAAAATATTTTAAGTTACACACCTTCTGTATTCTTTTTATAGAATAGAGACAAAGAAAAAATTGCCCCTTGAACTCTTCAGCTTCACACTACACAGAACATAAGCTTCTTTAAAACTTTTACAAAAAAGCCTCTATATTCAGTCTTGGAAAAGCTCAGTTAACGCAATTTTTATATTCTGATGTACATTAAATTGTTATTAGGAGGAAATTTGCGTTTCACCCTTACCTGCGTATTCATAGAACCATTCTAAGCATCTCTTACTTGAAAAGACTTCTTCCTCTGCTTTTATTCTAGTTGAATCATATTTTCTATACATACTTAAGAAAAGAAAGAGAAACAAGTAATTAATTAATCAATTTTTTTAAAGCAATCTTTTAGTCAACAGCCACTGTAAGTAGCAGTGTTCTTCCTTTCATGAACCAGTTTACCCAACATTCTGTCCTCATATCCAGTCATTTGGGACACTGCTTAACAGAGTAAGAATCACTGAACCTAAATACTGTGTTTGCTCAGTCTGTCACACTTCAACTGATTCATAATCATTATACATTTACATGAACTTTCCTTACAACAAATACAAACTAGTTCAAATTGAACCCCAAACTGCTTTGTGCAAGTTCAAGTAAGAGTTGTGCACACCATTAGTTACCACAATCAACTGATGGGCTGCAACTTGGCTGTGGGTCTGAACACAGAGTAATTCCATGTCGCAGTCAACACAGGTCCCACCTGTAGGCACACACATACTTCGTGCACTTTGGATTATTAACTAAGGAGAACTGCACACATTCTTTTTGCCTCCTCAAAAATCCTATAAGAGGCATAAAGGCCAAAATCAACATGACCCACACTTACATTATTTTAAAGCCAGTAAGTTGGTAACACAAAGGAACCACAGAGAACAGGTTACAGGTCCTCACTGACAATAACTCAAGGAACCTCATTCATCATGGGGTAAATAGTTATAATCAAAAAGCTAGATCCATAGCACCCCTTCCCCGCAGAGATGACCAGCAAGGTAATGCTCTCCTTCAATAAGAAACATAAGGAATTTTAACCACATTCAGGAAACAACACTGAAGTACCAGTCTCCTGAATTTAGTATCTGAAACACCTAAAGCATGGAAGGCACAGCAGAAGCTCATGAGTTACTCCACCCTTTTTAGACTTTTCTGAAACAGAGACTATATCATTTGTGCCTGTTAGAGGAAAGAGACTCAGCAGTCCAAGTAGTTGTTCACTGCTGCATATGCATTCCCTGATCCATTTCCACCACTCTGCAGTAGCTTGGGCTCATAAAGGCTGAAAAGAGCTGAGCAACAAACTGCTTAGACTAGAGGAGGTAGCTAAGAACGGCTCTGTAAGTGTTCCAAGCATGCAGCCCTTCTTACAGTGTCAAACCCTGATGTGGGAGGACAACAAAGTGGCTAACTGGTTCAAGACGAATTCTGAAACAACTTGATTAAATTAATTCGGAGTTGATTTCATCACCATTTTGTCCTTCTAGAAAGACATGTAAAAGATGTCCATACTTACGAGCTTAGATTCGAGTACACTAACCCCACTATCCTCCACCTAGCTCGGCTATCAGCAGAACTGTAGCTAGAAGTTAATGGCACACAGATCATTCTGACTAATTCAAAGAACTACTTCATGGTTATTGTCAGTCCCTTTAAAGCAACTAACCATTAGAAAAGTAATACTAGTCAGAGCAAAATGGTAAATTGCTAATTGGAAGACAAATACAAATAAGCCTCTTAAGAAATTTCAAGATGGAAAGAAAAATTAACACTGTACTGAAACACACTGATCTGCAACAAACTGAAACACTGCAGAAAAACACCAGCCATACATGTCTCAGAAACAGAGTCATATACCCACAATTTGTAGGGTTTTTTTATTTTGAAAACACTTTTTTCTATTTGAGTTACCTACTTGGCATAAGTTTACTGCAGTTGCAAAGTAACAGGATGAAAGCACTGCCCAGTAAGTAAACAACTAAGCCAGAAGGTATAAGTCAGAGTTGGAACAATTTTTTTTTTTTTTTTTTTTAAAACAGGTCTGATAACTTAACATTCTCATACTTGCAGAATGAACTGTGATTATGAAAGACCTATCCAGTATTTTTTAGGCTATTCTGAATTCCGAGGAATCAAAAAAAATGTCTTGAGACAAAGAAAGGAGGCATTCTGCCATGTTGGCAAAAGTCTAATTATTCAGTATCCCCTTTTTTGTAGCAAACAAACGTGACAAACACCAACTGGAATACCAAGTTGAAAACTGACTGTAGCAGGAGCTAGTCAACATCTTTATTCTCTTCTATTCTATTTACTCAAGAAGTCTGTAAGAGCACTGCTGGGACCTAAGACATGCAAAGCTAATGTGGTTCCCAAAGACAGACATTCATCACAAGACTCAATGTTTTTTCTTACGAAGTGATGATAATCAAGTGCCTCACCCTGCTTGTTCATGTAACTCATCAACACATTAGCTGTCAGTATGAGAACAGGGGATTTGGGAAGGACCCCTCAAAAACAAACTTATTGACAGAGCTCTAGGTCATCCAGGTATTTCAGAAAAAGGATTCCTGTATCTACAAGTGGCAGGGCTAAATACTGTAGCCTGAACCAAGACACCAATGACAGCAGTATGTGTAAGAGGAATGGTGAACGAGAACAGAAAAAAACAGGCATTTTATACATTCACTGCATCTACACATAGGAAGTTTTCATAGGACTGATATGAGACTGAAAGTAATTTGTTGTGCTTAAGACTAAGGTCATTGTTTAGGAACTGCAGGAAACAACAATATTCATTAGTAAGTCTATGTGCCCAACATACAGCCAAGTAACTCCAAGCAAAATGCTTTGGCCTCAAACTTATCATTGTTCGAAAAGTTCAGTATCTGACCACCGGAGTTTGATTTTTGAGAAACCAGAACTGATTGCAGATATTCCAACCTGTGCCAGTAAGAGAAATTACTTCACAAATTCAGAAAATAAAATCAGAAAGGATATAATCTTGAGCTATCCCAGTCTCTGCTACAAGCTAATTAGCCAGGCACTCATTAAAAATGCAGGTGACACCATATCACATTTGTAATAAAAACAGACTATGCAAGGCCAGAAGTATAAAACCATGCAACAAAAATGGCTGGATGAATCTCAAGATACCTTTCTCTCAACCTAAAAGAATAGTAGCAGATCACATATTCTGCAAGACAAGGATCACTTGAAAAAGAATATGACAGAAACAAGTAACACCAATGCAGATCCAGTATTAGTGATCTCTCATGTATAAATATGAAGCCTGTTCTCTCCCTGCTTACTCCAAACACCAAATGAGTTTCTCCCCCAAGTCTAGCCAAACCAGCTACTTTTATTAGCAAGAGACTCCTAACCCCCAAAGTGCTTGGTGAAGCAAGATGAGCAAGGAGATACAAGAAACTAGGCAGACAAATATCTGAGATTACAGCCTAGGTCAGCTTGGCTCAATTATCACAGCAAGCCCAACCTGGCTGCACAGGGTAAAAGTGATTCTGAAGACTGTCTCCTCTGAACTATCGTTAATATCAATGCGATTGTCTCAAGAACTGTATGTGCAGAGGAGAAAAACACAAACTGCCAGAGACATCTGGCATCTATTTCATATCTTAGAATATTTCTCCTATCTTTGGAATTTCTCCATACATACTGCAAGATGATGTTCCTTGTCTTTGTGCTAAGGACAGTGCCGCTTGCTACGCAGACAAATACAAAGTGCCAGAGTGCACAGGGCAGGTCTCAATACTTTGGGAGCACCAAGCATCTACTGAACAGATCCAGGTTTCAAACAGCAAGCTCTGAATGGCTCACAGGTGCTTCAAGATGACCAGCACCAGTACCTTCAAATAGATGCACAAGCATTATGCTGACCATGTCACTGTTTGGTAATTTGCTTATGCATTGATGGTCCGTAAGCGGAACCTGCAGAGTTCCAGTCACACACCAGAAGTGGAAGAACATACTGCTCAGAGTCTGGAGGAGAAAAAAAACAGAAAGGGGGCAGGGGGAGCAAAAACCCCACAGACACCTTCCATAAAGGAAGGGCCAATGAATATACCTGGTACTTTTGGTACCAGAATTTGTACCACTGTCAGAGAACGCCGACACTGGAAGAAGATTGCTAAAGGGTGTTTACTCCGTCAGAGCTAGAAAGGTGCATGCAGAACTTTTTGCCAGAGCATCTGCTATACCTACCACTACTGGACAACAGCAAACTCCGAGCCTTTGTATTTAGAATCACCCTTCCATTTCTGAACCCTGACATGCCACCCATTGGGAACAGCAAGGGAAAAAATATTACCTATGGGCAAAGAGTATGTATTTGTGTCTCAGATGAGACACACATGCAGGGACAATGACTCAGAAAAATCTTCGCTTGAAAAATAAGTTTTTATTAGTTTAGCATGACACTGTCAGTGTCATGACAGTGACAGCAGATGTCAAAAAATGTTTCTTTGTATTATAACCAGTATCCCCTTAAGAACCATTTAGAAAGAGAGAATAAAAAAGAAAAAGCTAACAGCCATTTTACCAACTAGAGAGAGGAAAGACTGTGGGACAGGGCAGGGAAAAACAACATGAGATTAACCTGCCTGAATTTTACAAAAGTGGTATCAAATACTTAACCACTATTTAAATGAAGTTATTTTCTCAGAAATGTTTGCATCTCCATCAGGACCTAATAGCTGACTCTTAACGTCCATTTTTAAACTTATCTTTGAAATATTCTTATGAGCTAGGGAACTGTAATATCCCTGCAATAAAAATGAGACAATGTAGTTTATAATTGGAAGTGCTATAGCTAGATGTAAACAAACTAATTAAAAAAACTGAGTGTCTAGGCCTTTCATGTTTCCTTAAATACACGATCATCCAGATCTTTTCTAGATTATCTTCCTCTAGTTCCTAACTGATTTGAGTGGGAAAGCAAAAGCATGAAAATTCCATCTAGCTATTATGGCAAGTCATCATAAGAGTTACATGGTCACTGCCAGCAAAAAGAACAAGGTCACGACAATTCTCTTCAATCTACTGCAGTCTTCAAAGTTGGGTATCTACTCTTGCTCTGAGGATGCTTCAACTGTATTGGGATTTGCTAGAGCTCCACCTACCACAGCAGCAACTCTGGGCTGTGTGGCTCCAGAATTTTCAAACTGAGATCAGTGAAAGCATGGAATTTAGGTCACACAAAACATTCTCTTGATTGTGGAAGCTGGTGATAGCTCATTTAAGGGAAAAAAAAGAGAAAAAGGAAAAACAAAAGGTACTGTTTATTATGGTAAGTAAAAGTTAACCCCTCATGAAGATTTACAGCCTGTTCATTTCAAACAGTCAGTGTTTACTGAATGAAAACATTAAGAAATTTACCAACAGTAGCTTTGTTTCTATGCAACCAAAACTTATTAAAAACCTTTAACTCTTTTTCTTTTTTGAGCTTTGAACTAATTGCTTTCAGATTATTTATATTTTGAAAGATGCAAACTTTTGATTGAAGAAGATGCCCCCTACTACTTCCATTAATTCTAATTAATTATTTAAATTTTTGGCTGAGAATTTTCATCAGTGTAGCACAATGAAAGTATTTTTAAAAGCCTTACCTATTCATTCACAATTATGATTTTAGCAATAGTTTCATAAATACTGTAGTAGAAACAAGGTGGGGGAGGAAGAGAGATGTTTTACAATTTGCAAAGCACAACAGAGACTGTCTAAAGCAACCCTCAGGACAAATTTACTTGACTGGTAAGCTTTATGAATGAACTTGTCTTATCTCTCCCTATTTAAAGGCTTACAATCATTTCTAAACTTTTAAATTTATGTTTTGAACTTCATCAAGCTTACTTAAGCAGCAGTACATATAACAGCATACATGTTGATAGTCACATGTCCAGTTTAAGTTTCTTCAGAACTATTAAGTGAAGTTCACTGAAAAGGTGTAGAAACAGGGAAAATTACACCTCTGTGTACTTGCAAATCTCTACTTCAAGGATTAAGGTCTAGACATCTATGACAGTTGGTAACACAGTCTGTCTGCATGGGGCAGGACCAAACCACTTAGTAAACAACAACAGAACAAAAAAATTCTCAACACTAAAGGTTTTGAAAACTTCGAAGGTTAGTATGCTCCCATTTTACTTTCCCATGTTAATAACAGTGTGTTGACTGTGTTTTCAAAACTTAAGTTTTTCCACTATAGAGTATGAAGCTTATTACTCAATAAAGAAAATATATTTTTCATGTTAATAGGCCCTTATGCGTTCCATACACACATCCAGGATAAATTAGACTGTAGATCTAATTGCTTGAAAACATAACTTTCAGGGAAGCAGATGAATATTCCTAGTTTTCTTTCTTCTAAGGTCCAAATACCCATTACTGTAAGATTTTTGCCCTCAGCATGGTTCTGGAATAAAAAGCAGAATTATTTTTTGAATGAGACTATCAGAAGGAAGAGAAGACATCACGTTATACGGCTCATTTTTCCCTAAGGAAAAAGCTACTATTTGGCTAGAGATTGTGTAACAAATACACAGTATTAGATGATTACACAGTGAGGACTATATTCTTACCCAGCAAGTATCTTTACATGAAACTTGTTTTACCTTTCCCAAGACCCTTCACACAGTGATGGAAGAGCAATGTACAGAAAATGTATTTTTAGCTCCAATTTGAGAATACCCTATACTGTGAGAGTTGTAAGTACAATAAAGTCAAGACTGTGATACTGAGAGGAAAATACAAACTAGTCTTCAAGTCACTATATTCTGGTGAGTGTGTGCTAAACTGTTTACTTCCAATAGCTATTCTTTAAGACAGGATAAATCTTACTGTGATCCAGAAATGAATATACTGAGTTCTTTTCATTACACATCATCTGGTATAAAAATTCCCTCCCACTGAAACACTACATTCATGGTTCAAGGTGACATTATGGACATTAATTAACAGAATTCAAGCTCTTATTATGTAAGGGTGGGATGCTAAAGAACATGTTTGGAATCTTTGTTTTCCATAATCAGTCTATTCATGAGATCAGCATTTCCAAATAACTTCACTAACAACTAGATTTGTTCCTTTAATTTTTTTTCCTCAATAGCCAGTGTCATTATTCCCCTAATCCTTCCAAGATGAGGCTGTGTCCCTAACAGCCTGGAACTGAGGGTGAAGGCTATTACAAGCTCCTGGTATCAGATGTATTTAAGTTTATGAATTTAAGAGCTTTTAGAAATCATCTTCTCTTTCAGCACAGAGCCCTGATGAAATAAACTTTCTGGAAAGAATACATATCTCAAAAATATTACTATCATAGTTGAAGAGATTATAGAAACATACCACAAACAGTGAAGACTGAAAATATCACCCAACAAAGCTATCCATGCAAGGATTAAAAAAATTTCCTTTGTATGGACAAACCAGGAGGAATCATTGATGTTTGGTCTCAGCTGTGATAACACCATTAATGATGACACTCCATTGATAACCTTCAGGCTGCTACCTAACATTTTTGCACTGAAAGCGAACAGGAGACTTGCAATTACTGAATTTATTTGTTAATGTTGCCCCTGTAAGTTTGCCACTGTAACTGAGAAACATTACATGAAAACTTACATGATTCCATAAGCATTTGAAGTGACAAATAATCTCTGTTAGGAAATACAGTCATTTCTGGACAGCACACATTGTATTTTTTCATTGAAAGTAGACATTCAAGAACAGACACCGACTACCTTTTTTGCTTAATACAGAATCCGCACAGGCTAATGTCCCTTGAAGGCTTATCCTGAGTTACTAGTATGCAGCTTCTAGGAAGTCTGCCTCTAAAACAGAAGCAATGGTAAAGACCTGGGCCTAGAAGACCCTTATTGCATAAATTGGCATTGCACTATTCATACTATTTTTATTGTATACAGCATTCTCTGCATACAACATAAGAGGAAATGGCTTTGCAAATAACTAAGTCTGCTACAGCACACCACTGTAGAGGTTCCTGATTTCAGATTGATTTCTGCTCGACAAACTGAGATGTCTGACCTCCAAAGATCAAACATGACAGGCATGAGCTCTGCCTGACAAACAAGCAAGGAAGTAGGAGACAGCTTGCTCTTTGTCTAACTTGTTCACAGGTTACAGGGGCATAAGCCAAATTTGAAGAAATCCCTCCTTGAAAGAAAATAGAGCTCCAAGACTGAGCTGAATGTTCAGCAAATGGTTTCATATTGCCAGTCATGCTGACATTAAAACTGTTTTCTTGAAGACCAAAACAAAAGAAACTTATACACTGGGAAGCAGAGAAAGCCCAAAAACCTTTAGAAGTTAAGACATATAAAGGAAGACAGATAAAAATTGGAACCACATCAGAGAAGGATATTCCCCTGTGGCCCATGACTGGCAGATCTGGTTTCACCTCCACTTCTGAAAACAGGCTGAGATCTTCCTTTTCATACAGCCTTACATGGCAGCAGAGTGAGGACTAGATCCATTAGATATAAACTGAAAGGCAGATTTTAAAAAAAAAAAAAAATCCTTCAAATTATGCTTTCAAAAAGCTCTTAAAATTATTATATATATATACACTACCGATAGAGTAAGAAATCGGTTTCTCATAATTGTCTTATCTGAATTGCACAAGTCAGCATCTCTTAGTTACAATCTTAGTTTCTAGGCGTTTTGGGTTATTTTGTTTTACCATCAAGGTCTTGGCAAAGGGAGGTAGAGTTAAATTTCATGAACCTCTCTACTTAGATTCTAGAAACATTCTGTCCTTGTTTCACTTCCATATTGTATGCGTATCTTTGAATAAGCTGCAATGTCCTCTATCAACTATTTAGCTTTTATATCTTATTATTTCTGAAAAGCAACAAAGAATATTAAGAACACGTACTGCTTTTTTGTTCTTGCTAGTGTTACGTATGCAAAGCAATGAAAGGGAGAGTTGAAATCTCTTTCTTCTTCTGCATCAACAGATCATTTAATAAATTCCAGTGCAGCTACAGTTGTGCAACCCTATTAAACACAATGGGGTTATAGAGGCATAACCAGAGGCTTAATTTGGCTACCAGCATTTTTCTTACTCATGCTAGAGAATAAAAAGGAAAGCACCCACCCTGACTTCAGGCTGACAGTTAGGAGAGAAATGCATCTTTTTACCTTCCTGAAGATACTTGTTGTGGAAGCATGTGTTTTTCAAGTCACCGGTAATACATGAATGTAATAAAGCTCAAATTCTACTGACTGACACAGTGGCAACCAAACTTTCTGGCTGTATACGTCACTTTTAGACGTCAGGACAGTCCTGCACCTATCATGCAGGAGTGTACAGTCCTGTACTCCCACAAGTTCTGAATTTAGTGCACATAAATAGTGACTATCTTGCACACAAGGAGCACATGCAATGGTTTCTGAATGCCTGAGGCTGACTGAACTTACACATACTGAAAATCCAACACTTGCAAAAGTCTCAGCTATGCAACACCTATGCCAAACGAATACACTGCTTGTGCACACAGTTATAACCCACTTGCGCTTCTGTTGCCCAGAGGGAAGCTGAGCAGCACTGCCTCAATCACCACTCCACCACTGGCTATCACCTTGCCTGGGCAATCTTCACTTTTCCCTTACATGATCAGAACCAGATCACAACATGACAGGGAGACACTAGCAGGACTTCAAGTAAGAGCTGAGTGGGGTACAACTACATTCACTTTTCTGACAGGCTGTAGACTGAGAATGCCCAATCCAAATCTTATGCATGTATACAGGAAGGTATTACTGTATCTCTTGGAAGTAGTTTTTGAACAAACAAGTATGTCTATTTTGACAGTTGGCAAACTTGAGCAAGAAGTTCCCTACAAGCTTCTTGTATGACTAGAATAAGGCAAGATGCAAACTGAATCTAGATGTGCTTATCAATATCCCACAGTTCAATCACAGGCTATGGTTCCACATTGAGAAACCAAGCAAATTTGAATACCATTTCCATTAGTATTTAAAAACATGATCACATCAGCTATTCAACTTTAGATATTCCATCAGTCTTAGCTCATGGTAAGATGACATACCCATCATGTCTACTTTTCTTAGCAGATAAATCATCTCCTGCTGCAGGTCTCCTCTTTTTCCTTGGAGGCATCACTTTACTAAAGCAGTCTGATGAACTGCAAGACCGGAGACTTCCTACAGAGGGAATTAAAAACACCAGTACAAGAAATGAAACTGTTGCAGACCAGTTAAACTGTGTCCACTAATAGGCATATTACAAAGGGAAGGGAAGGGAGGAAGTTAGTGGATTTAAAAATTACAAAAGAAATGGTCTCCTTTCAATAGCAAAATCCATCTCACTTTTACATGGTGTTCTATGAACAAGTACTATACCAAAATGTACAGTAGTGCTAGCGCTACTTCAGTCTAACAAAAGGCAAGAACTGAGGCTATCCTGAAGAAGTATTTAAGTCCTCAAAAAGGCACCCTTATTTTTAGTCATTTATTCAAATCAGAACTTCTAAGAGTTATTCATTACTTTTTGAAATACAGATGTGACTCAAAAACTAGAGCACATACCTCTAGAAAACAGAACCTTTTTATTTTTAAGCCCCAAGTTTTTCATGATACAGAGAGCAAGGGGTAGGAAAGGGTTGGTTGGTTTGCTCTTTGGTTTTGGGGTTTTTTTTCCATTTTCTTTCTTTTTTTGTGTGGGAGAGACATTCAGTAACCACTAGGGGAAAAAATAAGTGACTTGCTGTACCATTTGGACTGGATAGCTCTCAAAGAATGAAAGTCCCCAAGTAGGAAACAGCCAATTCAAGACACTGATGCCACTCAAGTGGCAGTCTTTCCCTCCCCTTCTCTCAGCTACATACTCCTGTATCTCTGGTGACTCTTCAGTGTGCCAATTCAGCTCACCAAACCTGTAGGTAATTAACCCAAGCAAAAAAAATAACAACAACTTTCTGTACATTAGCACAAGAAAGAGCGCAGGAACAGCCCTTTCGACCACAGCAAGTCATTAAATTGCCTTTGCTGTCTTATGAAAACACTATGCTAACACTCCAGGCAAAATTTTGTCCTACTTTCATACACTGAAGACCACATGGACACCTGAGAAAGGTGTGTGTAAGAGCAGCTCAAAGAGCTATCAAAGCTCTAAGCGTTACGCAGAGAATTTTAAAAGGAAAGGAAGAGAGAGGTGAGATATAAAAATCCAGACACAAAGCGATGCCAAAGAAACTTGCAAGAAAATATGAAGAACTCCAGCATACCTAAGCTACCTTCTCTTAGCTTCAACAGCATTCAAGTTTAGCTATGCTTTATTAAGATGCCCACAAAATCTTTTATTTTAAACCACAGCACAGAAGCAAGCAATAAAACTTTGACTACTTTTTGACACCAAGGGAGCAGACTGAAATCAGAGGCCCAATTCCCAACAAATACTAACGGCAATCTTTTGCTTACCTATTCTTCGTATCTTTGAAAGTCTCTCTCCTGTTATAGGAGAAACACATGTAAGGAACCTTACAGCCTCACAGGCTTTGCTACATGTACTTTATTTCAAACATGCACTGAAACTATTATGCATATAAGAGTATGGATTTTTCTAGTATTAGACAAGATGTTCAAACCATTTTTTACATCAAGAGGAACTAATTTGGTTTCAACTAATAAAGCTTTTGCACTTAGTGTGCCTTCTTTGGTCTTACCTTTCTATTCATTTCTATTAAGAAGAAAATTAGTCTCTCTAGTTCAAGAAATACTCGTTCCAATTCAAAAATTCTTCCTATATATTCCTTTTTCTTTTCTTTTTACCCTGAAGCTCCCCCACCCCAGCATCCTCCCAGGAAAGTATGGCTGTACGTACACTATATTTTAGAAAGAAAGTTTTAAGAGTATTGTAAATTCAAATTAAAATTTAACTAATTACCAAAAAACTTCCAAGCATTGTACTCCATAAACTACTATCACATGAAAAAATCATAATGGCTGTGTCAGAAGAATATACTTCTAGAAGCACTGTCCAGAATACGTTACAAAAGGAAATTAGCAATATTATTATTTATCTTCTTCTCATCTGTATCAGATATATTTGAAACAGGTAAGCCAGAGACCATCAAAAACCCACAGTACACCCGATGCATTTTACTACCCAGATTAAAGAAACTAAGGAACCTGATCTGCTAAATGTCATGTGTTCCATCTGATTATGCCTGCAAGTTAATGATACCGCAAAATTGTATTCCCATAAGTTATTGAAAGTGTGATGCTTTACAGCTTTTTAGATCAAGTTTCTGAAGACTCTGCCAGTGAGTATTTTTTTTTAAAACCTACACAAACTAAAAACACTTAAGATGACAGCAGAACTTAACAGATGGCTAGAGACAGCCAACAGACTCAGACACACACTAAAGTTAATAAATGAAAATGTGTGCTAATGAACACCTTGTTTTGGAAAATATGTATGTACTTGAGCACAACCTGTAGCTATCTCATTCCTTTGAGAGCAATTTGATTGTTTTAAAATGCCTATTTAAAAAAAAAAAAAAACCTATTTATGCTGGTAAAATGCAAGAAAACCCACCAACCCACCCACAGGGTTTGTCCAGTTTACTGGTTATTTGATTGGGAACAGCAATATGCAAGGCCTTTGTGAAGAGAGAAGCACAGCAAAAAATGAAAATAAAGAAAAATAAAGAAAAGTAAAAATAAAACAGTTATAGAACAGGAAAATCATTTTGCCAGATCTGCAACCCCACACAAACCAAAGAATTTAACCCAAGAATTCCTGCTTGAAGTCTTTGCCTCCTTAAATGATTGGACATTTTTAGGAAGATTGCTGAACTTGTTTGAAAGTCTTAAACTGAGAATAGAATTCACCATAACCCAGTTTCTCCAATGACTCATACAAAAAACTTGTACCCTTTCTTGGTTTGAATGTATCTAGTTGCAGCTCTCAAACTGACAGAAAAGGGAAGAAAAGAGATAGCTCAGAAATTGGTAAGTGGTCATTAAATGCACATGTACATCCCCTTCACGCACACACACACAGACACCAGGTGGACAAACATATTGTACATGCTTTCAGAGATTTAACATCTTAATAACTGAGCTTTGGACCAAGTCTTCACTATGTTTTAACTGTTGAAAGATCTCTAAACTACTAAAAATACAGTACAGAAATGTTACTTTGAAAGTATTTCCTTTTGTTATTAGAATCAGTATATTGAATTTGAAGGGCTGTTACAATTTCCCTGTCACAAACTCCAAAAGCTAAGCCAGCAGAATATTTCTATCTTTTATTTCCATCTAAAGACAAAAACTATCAGAGTTTGAGTCTTTTTGTTTAAATTCTTGCAATTTCTTATTTTACAGTATAGCTTACTAAGTACCATCAATACTAACCTTTCCTACACAGAGCTTTCTAATTCTAAATGTAAATTCTAGGTCTAGCCTTTCACAACTAATTTCACTTCTCAAAGGTCTGATCATCTGCAAACGAACATGCAGCTCCCTCTGACTTCATGCAAAGTTTGACAGGAACTTTACTTACCAAGTGCAGCTTCTCTGATGTGATTATCTTCAAAGTTTCTTACTCCTGGGTCTCAACTCAAGACTGGCAGAACCCTCCTAGTTCTCACTGTTTTTTTGACACTTGAAGCTAGCATTTGCAAGGTAGAGCCTCCAAATGGCCGCTGAATAGGCCACCATCAGCCAAAAGCCTGCCGAGTATACATGTTGTTTGCCAAACGTTCTATTCAGTACTTCCAAATTTGCAGGAGACAAAGCTACCAAAGGGAAACGTCAACTCAAGGCTAAAATTCACCCTAAGAAATTTGAAACAATGTGCAAGATAATCACAAGGGAGGGACACTCCTAGAATAGCAACAAAACCAGAACAAACAAAAAAGAAAAAACAGAGGTCAATAAATAAGAATTCTACAAGCTGTGTCCCAACAGAAGTGGTTTACAGACATCACCTTCTCTCTAGATAATGCCTGTGAATAATCCTGCTCTTCTGATGCTTAAGGAGAGGGATGTTTCAAAGGAAAAATAATTAGAAACTGTGAATGCTGAAGCAATTGGAAAGATATAGCTGCTCACTTAATGATGCAACAAGACCACCACAAGCACAGTTAACAATCATCATTTTTCAGATACAAGATGAGAAAACTAAGATACTCATCAAAACATCAAACAACTTGCAATCTTGTTGTAAAGGAAAAATCATGTTCTTTATCTTGAATTCCACACTACAGAATTGCTTTGAACTCAAGAGGTTTTTTTCTCTAAAACAACAAAAAAATAGTAGAGGCAAAAGTAATTTTTTCCCCCTACAAGCTTTAAGAACAGCAATGAAGCCTTGTTTTTGTTGGAGACATTACCTCATTCTTTTAGACAAGCCAGGTGACAACAGGAAGTGTACTTTTACTTTTAAAGACTTTTTAGTCTGGATAGGTAAATAAGTCACAATTCAATAACCAAATCGTGACTTTAAGCTATTAACGAGTTGCTAGATTTGTAGTTATGACATAAAAGCAAGTAATATTTCAAGTTCTAGAGACAGAGTTTTCCAAGTTAATGCATATACCTACTAGAAGAAAAAGAAATTGTTTACAGAATCCGAATGCCTGCTTTTCTTACCCCTACAAACAGCTGAAAAGGCAAAGGCCCATGACACATTTACAGCCTACCTTATTTTTTAGATATATACGCACACTGAATGCTAACACATTTTATGAGACTGTAATTATAGGTGACTGGAATTTTGAAGCAAGGTCCATCTTAGCTCCCAAATCACTGAAGGAATTCTGAAACTGCCACCCTCTAGCTCTTGGATATTTAAGATCTGGTTCCAGAAAAGAAATCTGGCTAATACTTAAAAAAAGATACAATTTGCTTAAAGTTATATTTATTGTTAGCTCAGAAACAAGTGCTTTGAAATAAATTTAATGTGCATTAAAAGCTCATTATAAATATTAACCTAAAATTGAAATACTCAGTTTTTCTAAATAGCTTTTAGAAATCTCAATCAAATTTACATATACATTTATCAAGTCATCCCAAAAGCAGGGCCCACAATGTAAGAACATTAGCCAGGACAGTTATGTCAGAAAACAAACAGCAATCTTTAAAGATAAGGTTTGCTCCAGAAGATTCAGAGTAAAAAAGCCCCAAAACAAAAAAACCCACAAAACATAAAAACTCAAAACCAAAAAAATAATCTTTAGATGGGTTTGGCAACACTCCAAGAATCTTTTGCAACAGAGTTATTAACATGACTTTCAAATGAGTTCTGGACATAGAATCTCAAATTCACAGCATCTATGCAGTTCTATAAATTGCATAACAAAATTAATAGGTCTTGACACCTCTTACTATGCAGTCAGTAATACTGGAAAATAAGTTCCAAAAATTTAGGCACATCAAAATCAAACAACTTGCAAAAGTAATGCTTTTTCAATTTACATAAGGCTCTCCAGTAAGATGTTTCAGAAGTATCAAGTCCCATACAAGATGGACATGGGAGACTTCAGTGTACTGTATTCACAATGGCCAAAATAGCTCCTTGCATGTGTATTTGTCCTCATATGAGGAAAACCAAGCACACATTTCGACTGAATTCGCCTGGAAGTTATGCAAATATTGGGGCTTCATCTTTTTCTACAAGCAGACACAGAACAGGGCACAAGCGTAAGAAATACTGGAATGAAATCTGAAGATGAGGAGCCTGCCAGTATCACACTCTACTTTCAGTTCTCATTTCATACTTGTTCCTGGTTTGAAAGGTTCTTTTACGACTATTGTAAAAAATTACACTCCTTGCTGGGATTTTGTGCTCAAACTCGTTCAATGGGCACGTTTAAGCTTTTGAAACAGCTTAATTCAAACAATACAATGCAGGCAATAGGATAGCCATGAGTGTCAGTATAAAGCAGTGCATCAAAACCAGTAACATGCTCAAACACCTTCCAATAGAGATAATGAGAGTTCTGAGGCTAATTTCTTATACTGACCTTTATGACAGAATTGCCAGGCAAGAGATAAGACAAATTCCAAATACCTTAGGCACACCTACTCTTATTGATTGATTAGTGACAGAAGGGGACTACCTCAATGCTTCACAACAGCTTTTTGTGATCAAAAGTAAACAAAGATTATGGAATGTATTTTCATATGTGAAATCAGTATGTATCTCTGTTTAGTATGAGCACCTGGATCACAAAGGGGAAATTCCAAGTCTCCGTCAGGAGATGGGAGAGGACATCAGTTCTAACATACAGACAATAAAATCTCTGACTGTCTTGAACTACCGGCCCCAACCCCTTTTGCAGAGGTTTTTCATTTATATGATCAGCTAATTTCAAGTATCAAATCACTAACCACACTAAAGGAAAAATATTTGATAGAATCCTTTTGTGGCTAGGGTAAGATAGTTCAACTATGAAGCAAAGTCACCTGATGCAGTATGGAGGAGGGTACATAAGCCCCAAGTGAGCTCTGTCCGATCCCAAATAATGCAGTCCTGTGCATCTCTTATCTCTTCTCATCGCTGTAGGCTAAGAGAGTGTGCTAGATTTACATGTGTCCCAGAAACCTCCAAGAGGAGCTGACAGGTCTCTCCACTTTCTTAAGCACTCAAGGTAATATCAGCAAACACAGCCAGCACCTCAGGACAGAGAAAAACTTTGAGACAGATGGTAGGACAGATACGGTCAGTTTTAGAGAACAGTTCTGCTGACTGATCAGGGCTTGAAGCCAGTAAGTTATTTTCCTTCCTCCTTATGTATCATGCCTGAAACATAGAAAGGAAGAAAGAAAAAGAAATCGAGGAAGGCACCAGCTCGTAAGTAACAAGCGCAAAAGGAGGTAACAAATGTTGCAAGATACCAAGTCACAAAGCACAAATGCTGATGAATCAGGAATGGCAGTAAGCTAGTACCAGGCACCTGAGATGAAGGCCTTGAAAAATTGTGACATCTGATTGAACAGAAAACAGATTTGGACTAATAAATAGCCCTTAGACACTGACTGAAAAACTGCAGAAGAACAGGACAACCCGCATCAAAACCACTCAAGAAAAAGGTGCGTTGTTTGGAGCACAGCATTTAAACTCGGTCACAGGCATCACAATAGCCACAAGAGGTCTTGCTTCTGCTCTGTTCTCACTAATGCTCTTTCAAGAGTCAAAACACTATAAGAACATGGATATTCTGCTAGTCTAATGGGTTGAGTCCAAGGAGTGAGAGAAATTTTTCATGAAGTCTTCTGAAGTACTTACACTAAGAAATAGTAAAATAACAGCTACTGCTGAAACCTGTACAAGTCCTTCACAACCAGATAAATTAAGAGCATGAACATCTATTTTGAAGAAAACCTTAAAAAAAATCCTGGCACTTGTTTTCTAAAACTCCTTTAGCTTTCTAAAATACAACTTTCAATTATGTTAGAGGGACTTCTTTGAAGCGTGTTTAAATTGTTTCAATCTATTTCTACTACATCCCTATTAAATACCTGTCTGGTGATCGTCTTGACCAACGTCCTCTGTCAGATTCTGCAAGAGAGTAGGAATGATACAGTTAAACAAGACTGTGATCTCCATTGTTCAGTAATGTTTTTAACCTTTATTTGATATTAATAGTCATCTTAATTAGTTAAGGACCATCTAGCTGAGACTGCAAAGCCTTTGTGTTTCCAGTTCATATTTATCTAAAAAGTCACCCTTGCAAATTCATCTAAACGGTTCAAGGATAATCTTTAAATAATTTGAAAAATATTTTTTAATTGTTTATCAAAAACATATCAAACTATGTTTCAAGAGTGGAAACAACTACCCACTGGATGGGGAATTTTGCATTATGGTATTGAATAATTCAATTGATAAATGCAGCATTAGAAGGATTGAATTTACCATTTACCACAGAAATGGCTTTGCTTAACGATAAACACACATATGTGTTCTAAAGAAAACTGATTAAAAACCAACTGAAATCTTGGAAACGAGTTACCCCCTTTTTTAGGCAGTGTCTTTTCCACTAAATTTGCAGCATACAGACAGAAGCCATATTGGCATTTCCAGCTATGGCTGCAATAAAACAAATGTAAACGCACAGCAAACAGGCAGGGACAGTCTTCAAAAAAAAAAAAAATCTTGTTTCACTCTTTGCATGGTTGTAAGAGGACAGCTTGCTCATTCAATATGTTTTCCACAAGAACTGTAAGAAACTGGATAATGATGATGATTACCATTATTTCATATGACTAGGAAAGCTCCTTCTATGGAGATATCTAAACCCAACGTTGCAGTGAACAGTGCTCAAACTCCACTCTGAACCCCGGAGTATCATCTTTCACCTTTTACTAATACTGCTTATCTCTTAACAGATTCAAAACCAACAGCCTCTCACACAAAAAGGCAGTCATAGTTTTTAAAAGTGTAATCAACTTATGATTTCAATCACGAAACATTCTGGACTAAAGCCCTAGCTATTCTGCTGAGAGAAAATGGCAAGTCATTACCAGCCTATTGAGGGTGTGGTAAATCTTGTGAATATTTGCCAGTGTTGATAGGTGAGAATTCAGTTGAAAATCTAGAGGGGGGGAAAAAAGAAAATATTAAATTCTCTGGTTTCCAACTGTAGCAACCAAGATCTTCATATGTTCTGGTTGTTTAATAAAATCATCACATGACTATAAAATAAAAGCCATCTCAACACTTTTTCAGCATCAACGTTTTCAACACTGACTGGAATCAGTAAGCGAAATCTGCAAAAGACATCCTACACAGGCATTTTTCTTAAGGCATGGATGACCCTCAGCAAAATAGAACTACAACTAACTATAGCTAACTACAAAATTATATTGAAAAATAATAATAAAAAGTATTTACAACTTTTTTCCTTTAAATTGGAAATCATAATTTCCATGCTACCCAGTCCTTCTGTTCCATCTATTGCAAAACCAATTTAAGTACCATGTAACATTCTAAAATTATTACTAAAAATTTTATTAGTATACATGTATTTGCCTTTATACTAATTTCCTTGCAAAACTAAGTGACTGGAATACACTTACACATGAAACATGACTTCTGTAAAACAAAGTAAAGGTCAGAATACAGCAGCTGTGAAGACCAGAGCCAACAAAACCGAAAATAAAATATTCTGACACTTCATGAAAGAAGCCATAGCATAGATGTTAACTTTGCTTCCACGCTCCAAAAATAAAACACTTGAGTTTGCTTCAGTTGCAAAAAAGTGCCAAACTAATTTTTCTCAATTCTTTTAAATCCCCCATTTTTGCTAGAAATGTGTCGAGGACAAAACTGGAAAATAAGTAATTTACAAGAAAGATCAACTGTGATCCAGCCAGAGAGCATGTGAACAAACAAGAACCTCAGAAGCTGGACACAGACAAGCTGACAGGGATCAAAGACAGCCAACTACTATACAATATTTTAATTTAAACTAAAAGTAAATTAGCTACCCCACTAGAACTCATACGCAAAAACACTTTTATTAAATAGAGACACATACTATACGACAAGCAGAGTATTTCAAGCAAAATTCTTCCGTACATGAAAAGCTGTATGTGCCTAGTGTCACTGCCCAGTTTATGAATTAAAGCATTTCTACTGTGAGACATTTAATTTGGCTTTGCCCAGTAGCTGATACAAGATGCAAGTAAGGTCAAAAACATAATTCCCACATTTCCACCATCTCTAGCATTTCAAACGAATGCTCTCAAAATACACTTAAGGTGACCCAGAATCTAAGGATAAACAAAAGTCATCATTAAATGCCAGATCCCCAAGCCAGTGAACCACACCGCTATGAAGTTAAAAAGTGGATCTGAAGGAGCTGCCTGCTGTAAGCATACTTATTACACACATCATTATGGAATTCTCTTGTTATGGTGAATAAAAACAAAGTTCAAAAGATACCTTTAGGAATCATACTTTTAATTTATTATATTAACTAGAGAGTATCATTTCACTAATTGCTACTTATTTCTTAATGTATTGTCCCCAACCCACCACCACAGCAATATAATTTCTGTAAGTCAGAAGTGCCAAAGATGGAATTTCCAACTTTAGGTATACTTATCTATATGAAGCCAAAGACAATCCAGATCTTCTTACCAAGATACAATAGGAAGATCTTGCATCTTGAACAGGGTGCTAGACTTTTTCCTGCATTAAGTGCTCAATAAAGTTCCATTTTTGCTAGTCAAACAATACCAAGCAGAACCATTCTGCAAAAACACAACCCCAAGTTTCTTAGCCAACCTTCTATTCAACAA